GGGAAAAGGAATCATTGGTGTCCCTTGCACTATTCTTGCAACTTTTCTGTATATGTAAAATTATACCTAAATAAAAAGTTACAAAAAGAAAACTACAAACATCCAGGAATGCTCACAAAGCTCTGTCACATTCAAGTACATAGCATCAAAATTCGGAGTTTTCAAAGGCATTTTTAAAGTTGTAATGCACTCCAATAAAAATTTCAAAAGTCCCTGATAATAAAACGGCATTGCTCAACACTAAACCCTGTCCCCCAGGCCATCCATCTGTTTATATCTCTAAGCTAGTTAAGCCTGGAGAGAAGTGTTTGAGTTGAGACCCAACTGTGTGATCCACGATCCTAGCCTCTGAAGGCTTTGCCAGACATATGGGGAAGAAAGAGACAGTAAGGGGCAAAATGGAGTTCCTCAGCTACATGGCTCATTCCTCATCATTAATTAGTTATCAAACCTGCCAACCTGCTCAACAGACGCTCCACTGAAGAGTGCAGGAAAAGTGTCATGCAACGAAGCAAGTTCTCTTCACCAGATGTTTTTTCATCCACACACATCTGCTTTGAACTTCAAAAATCTTGACATCCAGAGCAAGGTCTGGGATAGTCTTAACTTGCCTAACAGAGGAAAGGCACTCAAGTCTTACCGAAGTTTCCTAGAGTAGTGACAATAAATTTTATTCAAATACAAAGCTAAAGCATTTCTAAAACTGCACCTTTTCCTCATGCCCCAAATATTAAGGGGGCAACTCCTCAGGAATTAGCCAAGAAAAATCATAAAAATATAGCCAATATGACCATGAGAGCAAAGGATAAAGACATTACCCTTTATTTTTTAAAGATCATTTTAATGATTTTTAAATGTATTATTCTCCCTATAAATGTAGTCTGCTTTCAAAAAATGGAATAAACATAAAAATTTAGACTTACAAAAGAGGATAAATTAGGGTACACTGATTACCTTCATTCAATAATTATTTTTATACGAATAGTTTTCAATAAGATTTCTAGATATAGTGTTTAGGAGTTTTTAAAGAAAATAACTCCATGTCTAAAAATTCATTCTTCACTGTTTTCACAAACATTTATCCCATCCGCCAGTAAAAGGCAAAGCATTGTACTGACACATTTTTTAATAATGACAATTCAAACCAGTTATCAGTCATTAATTCATGCTAGCTTTAAAATATCAGAAGAAATTGTCTAGGATTTAAATTACAAAACACTTTTAAAGAGAAATTATTTCATTACTTGTAGTGCATGCATAATGCAAGTTAATGTAACAAATTATTTCTTAGTGGAAGACTTCAGGGAAGTAGGACAAGGAGGAGCTAACACTGAGAATCTATGATGTGCCAGGCATTCTCTTTCATAGCAGAACTCAGCAAAGCAGAGATGGGGAACCTGAGGCTCAGAGAAGGGAAGCAGTATGGCTTAAGTCATTTTACTAGGCACACAGACTGGATTTCAAGCTGGACTCTGGAATCACAAAGCCTGTGGTATTTCATTGTTATATTACTCTAAAATCTACTCAGTATAAGTATTTATAAGTGTGTAGCAAGTATAAGGATTTATACTTGTTACACATTAAGAAGACTAAATTCCTTACAAACACCAAAAGACACGAAACATCAAACACAAACACCAAACACAACTCTTAAAACATTTTAAATCTCTCTTAAGGAAAGCTTTTAAACCATAACGAAACCCAGAGACCATAAAAGATGGCCAAGATCAATATATTTGACTAGTTAAAAAATATTTATAGTGCTTTCTTTCTTTTTTTTTTTTTTTAAGACAGAGTTTTACTCTGTCACCTAGGCTGGAGTGCAGTGGCACAATCTGAGCTCACTACAGCCTCCACCTCCCAGGTTCAAGTGATTCTCGATTCTTATGCCCAGCTAATTTTTGTATTTTCAGTAGAGACGGGGTTTCACCATGTCAGCCAGGCTGGTTTCGAACTCCTGACCTCAGGTGATCCGCCCACCTCAGCTTTTCAAAGTGCTGGGATTACAGGAATGGGCCACCTTGCCTGGCCTGTTTATAGTGTTTGTTTTTGCCATTCAAGTCAAGAGATGAATGACAAATTTGGGGAAATATTTGTAATTCATAGCATAAAAGGCTAATTTTCTTAATATATAAAGATCCTCTACAAATCAATGAGACAAATATCCAAAGAAAATGCAAAAAGGATATGAACAAAAGGGAATATGAATGACTCTAAAACATATGAAAAGATAAGTCTACATTACTTATACTAAAAGAAATGCAAATTAAAATCACAAGATACCGTTATTCAGGTTTCAGACTATTATCAGACTACCAGGTTTCAGATATCAAAAAGTTTGAAACAACATTGTGTTAGCTGGGAGTGGAGAAAAGAGCAGATTCATACAGCAATTGTGGGAGCATGGCCGTCTGGAAGAACATTCTCTTAATCTGTGGTAATTATGTTCTATAATGTTGATGAACACTGAATTAGCAAACAAATGAGCCACTACAGGTAGGGAAAACACAGGGCTAGGTTCCTGCAAATCTCTGGTCAAAACATTTTTAACAGCGTATCAACAAATAACCTTATTTTATATGTGTTTCTGTTTAATCTTTTAAAAATATTTATTTATTTATTTGCAAATAATTATATGCATAAACACTAGCCAAGAAGAGTTTAACGTTTTCCTGATGCTGGGTAACACACCCATAAATTTCTTTGGCTTTCAAATTACGCAACAATGCTATCCTCTATGCTTTTTTTATTGGTCATCATTCCATGAATCCACTAATTTAGCTGCTTTTCCATCTTTTCCATTGCTGCATATATAGATGTTACTTTAGCACGTTCTGCAGCAGCATCACATACAGATCAGTGAGTTTCCTCTTCTTTTATTTGGGTGTATCGTATTGTTGATTCATTAACAATGAATTCGCCACTAATAGCACTATAATTTCTGCCTAAATGAAGCTTATCCAAAATGTACGTTTTCCCTCACAAGACACTACCACCTTCTCGCACTTTGAAACACCAGACAGCACTTCAGCACTATGCTTGGTACAATTTTAAATGGCAAAATCATCATTAAAAAGTGCAAAAATGTGAAAAACATGGCACAAAATAGACCACAAAATGGACACATTTGTAGTACAAGATCTGAAACAGGAAGGCAGAACATTGTCTTGTTCACTTCAGCTGGGAATGTGGACATTAGGTGACTCAAAATGTTTACCACTTCACGCATGTCCACAAGTGACTATGAGAGTGCTGAAATGCTGATTCGTGTATTGCAAATAAATGTTAGCAAGTAGGCAAATTAACAAATACAGAATCCAGGAATAACTGAGGATTGACTTTATTTATCAAAATTACACACCCTTTGACCTAGCAAGTCTATTTCTAGATATTTATTCCGCAGATATGCCCTTATACATATATGATAACATATTTATAAGAATCTTCATCAAAGTAGCTTTAATTAGCAAGAAACTGGAAACCAATTAATTGCCTATTGGACATATGTATAACTATGGTACTGTATACAATGAAACACTATGTAACAATTAAAAACAAATGAGGAAGCTCTACATGGATGATATGGAACCAACTACACTGTTTTTCAAACTTTTTGATCACAAACCACAGTAAAATCCAAAACCAAATCAAAACAAACAACAACAACAACAAAAAACTCACACATTGTCATTTACTACACACATCTATTTATAACTAAAATTTCACAAAGTAATAATTGCTCTTCTACTTGCAATGTATTGCTCTCTTCTAATGTGTTCTTTATAGTCTACTTATTGCTTTTTAAAAATTCTGCTTCTGACTCACTAAATTGATTTAGAGCTCATTAATGTGACATGCTACAGTTTGAAAAAAAACACCAATCTACAAGATAGTTTGGCTAAAAAAAAAGGTATGGTGGAGAATAATGTATAGAGATGGTGCTGCCATTTTTGTGAAATAAAATAAAAGAGGATCATGTATGAACATGCTTGTAAGTACACAGGGTCTCTCTGGAAAAGTATCTTAGGAACTGGCAGCAATGGTTGCTCCTGTAGAGGGAACTAGTTGAGTAAGGAACTTGAGTGAAGGGCAATCTATTTTTCACCACCTTCTGAAACTTCTGAATTTATCCTGTTTTCATATATTTCCTATTTTTTAATGCCTCTAAAAATCTTGATTACCTGGTTAATCTACGATATCTATGAAGAACTTCTTACCTGTTTAGATGACGACATTCTGATCTTACCATATATTTTAATTGTCCTTCATTAGAATATATTATCATGATGTGAAACTAGTCTAAATCTTCCAATTTGTTTCTTGTCTCATGATTATCTAAAACATAAGCAAATCTTAGATGGGGCATGAAGAAGCCCCTACTGAAAATTTACACTGAACACATATACTTAAGGCAAAACCTGCTATGTCCGAAGAGCAATCAAAACAAATAGAACAAAACACACACTGTACCTGACAACTTCCTCAAGCTGCTTTTCCATCAGAAATTTTAAAAGGTCAAAATCATTATAAGTTTTTTAAAAATAAATAGAGACATTTGTGAGTAAAGTTTACTCACAAATACACAAAATGTATTGTTAGTTAAGTCCTAATTCATAATTAAATTATATTTAATTTACATATAAATAAATTATATATATTATATAATATATAAATAAATTAAATATAAATTATAATTAAAACTCAGCAAAGAGTAGTACAAAGTTTGCTCAAATATGGTTACACATGAAAATTTACAATTTCAGTAAAAGAGTGGCATTTACTGGCCAGGCACGGCGGCTCATGCCTGTAATCCCAGCACTTTGGGAGGCCGAGGCGGGTGGATCACAAGGTCAGGAGATCGAGACCATCCTGGCTAACACAGTGAAACCCCATCTCTACTAAAAATACAAAAAATTAGCTGGGCATGGTGGCAGGCGCCTATAGTTCCAGCTATTCGGGGGGGCTGAGGCAGGAGAAGGGCGTGAACCCGGGAGGCGGAGCTTGCAGTGAGCCGAGATCATGCCACTGCACTCCAGCCTGGGCAACAGAGCGAGGAAAAAAAAAAGTAGCATTTACCATCAGTGATATCTGGGAGTCTATAATGTATCTCCTGATTTTGAGTACTTAATCTGAAATTCTTCCATATACTGAAAATTGAAGTTTATGGTAAGAGTATTAAAAGATAATTCTAATAATACAGCAAACCTGGGAAACGCTACTTCATAGCCCTGGAATTTTTCAAGGTATAATTGTTACATGAGGGAGACCATGAACTCAGGCAACATGCAGGGTAAATGAGTGGCCTGAAGTGACACATCTGAGCCTGTGAAAGCACTGGCTATAACAGTCTTGGTGTGGTCAAGCTCAAGCTTATTTCCATCTAGAGAAGCTTCTAGCCTTTCAGTAATTACCATTTTCCTTTGGTAGTGACTAGTAACTGTTTATAACCTCAACTACTGATTGAAAAATGCTTAGGTTCTTTAGAAGGCCAAAGCCCAGGGATTTGTGGGACTTCTAGAAATGTCCAGACCATGAAAAGATTCTCATCAGAAAACATTAACAACACACTAAAATAAGTTCCTGAGTAGGTTCAACATGTGAAACATGGACACAGATTTGGCAGAATTCTCCAACGAGTGGCTTCTTAACATATCATGTCATACAAATGCAATGTGAGAAAAGGTACACACTATTGATCCTGTTTCAACATTGGAGAATGGCTTAGACAGAGATGAGCTGTACGTGTGCACTTCATCAATGATGGATTAATTGCATTATAAGAACCTTCACGATGTATTTGTACTTAATTTTAGAAGCTAGGCTTTCCAGAAAGTTGTATTTAAGAATTTGGTACAAGTAAATGTATATGCCCAACAGTGGTACGACTTCAGTCTTGGTGGAGCTCTGCTATATAAAGCAGTCCTTAATCCCCAATGCAAGGCTTTGCCTCCTAGTGGCATTTAAATCACCAGCTTTATGGGTTAAAAGAGCTATAAGCTACTTATCTCATGATGTTTCCCCTAGGATACTTCTCTTTCAAAATCATCCACATATCACCTTGTTTAAATTAAGTCAGACAAAACAGTTTCCTTACCAGGTTGCAAGTAAGTTTTTTCTATCCAAATGGATTCATTTTTCTGACCAGAAAGAAGTCATCAGCCACTCTCCTCCTCTTTAAAGATATATATACATATATTGTCCTCCAATTGTTGTTAACAACCCCCAGCTGCACTGGCTCCCACACCCACTTAAAACCTCTGTGCTTGGCTTCACATCCCAGACTGGCTTGCAAGGAAAACAGAACTCTAAAATCAGAACTGTCTTGGGCTGGGCAGTTGCCAAGTAAGCTGTCACTCCTGAGCCTTAGGTCAAATGGCATGCCCTACGCCATTCTGCACAGTATTTAAGTTACTCCTTATTGAATAAAGAGAAATTCATTTTTTAAATGGGAAGAATGAGGCACTGTAAATAACACAGCCTCCTCTTATAGCTGTAGATTTTTGCCCCTGGTTGTTAGGGTCTTTATAACCAGTAGGAGGTTTATCTTTAGGAAAAAAAAAAAAAAAAAATGCAAAGACGCTTTACTGTCTTGACATAGAATCCTTAAGACTCATATAATGCATGTCCCATTATGGCCGTGAAGAAACTTTGACTTGGCATGCTTCCCTGAAAAACTTTCACCACTTAACTGTCTTGGGAGCAATGGGGATTGAGTTCTATAGAATCCTGGTTACACTAAGCCAAGAAAATAATCATTCCCTCTTTCCAAGGCTTGTTCAGATTTGTTCGAGACTAAATAATGAAGGATGCTGACTGAAAAGAGGACGATGTGGGTCAAATAGTAACACAAGCCCTGGAGGACACTTCAGTTATCTTCCTGTTTTATCCTTTTATTGTATTAGAAGCTGCTGGAAACAGAGGGCCACTTGGTTGGGACTTGGAAGTTCTCTGGTGAACACAAAACCATTCAGTAAAACAAGTTTTATTAAAACACAATTTTATTCATTCAACAAATACTTTTTTAGGATTTATTTCATGGTAAACTCTATTACCCTTGGAGCAGATGAAACTGACTATAAAATTTCCTGAGTGTAATAAGAATTACATAGTCACTAGAATTCTATTCATAAATGTTTGTATTCTGTATTTCAGATGGAAAACTTTCTGAGCCAAAAAATAACAATTCTTGGCAAGATAATCGCTAGAACTATACTTCTCATGATGGAAAAGAAAATTACAGATGAAAATCTATTTCCATTATTCAGAGTATATTAGTGATACAATGTATATAGATACGTTCATGATTTAAAGGAAAGAAAGTTCTGGTATAAACAAAGTGGCAGATTATAGATACTTGCAATCAACATCTTTGTATTATAAAACCAAAACTAATTCTGAAAATATTAATCTCAGAGCACTACTTCATCAGATTAATGCTACTCTTCATCGTTGAAAAGTTTAAATATCATGTCTACCTTATTCACCTTGCATCTAAGTTACTTAATGTTTTTCTTTCCACCTGATCCTTAAATAAGAACTAAAATGTGGCTTATCTCTTAAGAGATATCTTCACTACAGTGAAGATGTAACAATTCCAAAACATTGCTGAGGCACTAAAGAAATGAGCTTCCAACCATGACAATGGACTGTCACGTAGAACAAAGTTTTAAAACCATTTTTAAGATAAAGTTATTCACATCAGACAAACATCTATAAGTACCTCTTTTCCCACTACCAGCCTAAAAGCTAATTTGCCTCCTCTTTGACGGTTATTTTTATGATCATGTGAGCCCAGCAGAAACGCCTAGTCATAAGTGCTCACTGTGGCGTGTGCCATGTAATGGAAATAAGTGATATTGCTGGTGCCCTAAGAATGAAGCTCCTTTGAAGTATGTGTGTTTATATGTGCTCGCCAAATTTTTAATACCAGTAAAACCAAAAGGCGGTTTGGAATTTTAACTTACAGTAAAATAACCTTTTATCTTTTTAATGTTCCAGGAAGCACCAATTCAATTTAACATTTTTTATTTTGAAACCACAGCATACTTTGGTAACAGCAACAAAACAAAGCACTCGATAAAGAACTTTGCCTATTCTGAAAAGAGGGAGAAAAACACTGCATTTAAGTTCTAACTGGCCACAGTAAAACAGTTTGATTTGATAGAGCTATGTCTACAATGATAAGATAACTCCTTATCCTTTCAGGTAATTATGTGAGAACATGCAAAAATTTTTATAAAATAAATCATATGATGATATACCATTTATATAAAGTTTAAAATCAAGGAAAACTAAACAATGTATTATTTAGAGATACACAAAAGTGTGAAAAAAGCTTTCAGGAAAAGCAGGGGGTAAACACAAAGTAAAGGATGGGGAGAAAGCACAGTAGTAAGATCAGAGAGGCCCACATGGGGCTTCAAACATATGGGTAATGGGCAATTTCTTAGGCTGGGTGGCAGGTCCACAGGTGTTCATTTTATTATTGTCCTTTATAACTTACAAATTTATTATGTCCTTCTTTTAAAAATATATGAAACATTTCATAGTAAAAGATGAAAACAAAACTGGATAAAAGGGTAGCTGCACAAATGGAAGCAGTATCATGTACGAAAGTTAATTATCAGCATTATGAACACATCTGTCGATAGGAAAGAACCTGAAGTTATTCTCCGGGTAAGGTGGGGCTAACTTAATGGCAAGGTAACAATTCCCATGTGTGCTCATCACATAATCAGGCTCTGGGTGAACTGTGGGCCTCAGATCTGTTTAGGATGAAGAACTCCAACACAAGCTTGGCACAAACGCCACTGGCTAAATACACAGCCTTTTTTTAACCTCTAAGAGCCCATATGCCTCCTACCCTGAATTGTTTAAGATTTTTCTTAAATATATGGAATGTGTTTCTCATTGATCTCCATATTCACTGCTTCCTACTGACCACTCCCTGGCAGACACCCCTGAACTTCAGAGGGTTTACCAGGCTCCCAACAACACATGTTTTGGTACAAGGTGCAAAATAGGAAATTAACCCATATACTAAGATTGGCTGTTTATGCTATATATTTGCATATATTCTAATTACCTGTATCTAATTACAAGCTTAAAATGGTAAAGAACTCATTTTTTCACCAGAAGACTTGATTTGATATGCCTTTGTTTATCCATTTATTAACCATACTATATACGGCAGCCTCAATAAAGCACTTCTGTAGAGGCCTGGAAAGCACATGTAATTGTACTTCAGCAGGTAAAAATATATTGGCTTATTTTTTCTCTAAAAGCAGAGAGAAAATTAATTCTTTTCAGCTGTTTCATTCCAGGGACAAGCATTTGCTTTGCGTTAAATCAGCGATTTGTAGGCTGGGCTTTGTCAGCAACTCATGATCTGGAGGTAGGAGGTTGCAGGATGGGTGTTGCAAACATGTTCACATCCTAATTGTCCTTTTTACAAGGCTATTTGTGGAGACTTTCCTCTGTGATCCCTTTAAACTGCCTCAAAATCATCTAGTTCTTGGATGCTCCTCATTATCCAACATTTCCAACCAATATTGTTTGTTTTTTATGAACATGAGGATATACTCTGTTATATTTCATTTTTCTAGAAGAAGAGTCAACTTCTTTTAAAGTTTCTGCTAAATAATCAATAAAGAAACTCCATTTGGCACCTAATTCATCCATCCAATAATTATTGGGAGCCTATTAAGTTCAATATGACGTGGCTTCTGCCCTTGAATAGCTCACAATCTGGTGTTATGATTCTTAGAAGCAATGGAATTTTCCAGTGCCTGGGAAGATATTTCAAACCTCTATAACCCCTGTGTGTGTCACTGGAGCTCAAAGACCTGTAATTTATTCCTCTCAAATAACTGAGTTCGGAAAAAAAGATTAAGAAGTGCTGGCCTACGAGAAGGGGCTAGGATGTGTCACAGTCATTATTAGAAGGAATGTCAACTGCATGGTGCTAACAGAGCACAAGGAAGGAGCAAATTACCTGGGGGGAGGACTTCCAGAGGATTCGAAGATTCACATTTGATCAGGGTTTTAAAGACTTTTATTGGCCCAGAGCTTAACACAGCAAGAGCATATGCAAGTTATTGGGGGAAAAAGCAAAAATAACTCTTTGGAAGACCAAGTGATTTGGAGTGGCCAGAGTTAAGATATTGAGAATGAACGAAGGAAAAGAAAAACTAGTTGAACTCCATGGACATATACAATTATTTGTCAATTTTTTTTAAAGGACGAGTTAGAAATAACACTGAAAGCATATTCTGAGGTCAGATCAGGGGATGCCATTTCCCATCAAGTTAGGTAGCTCCCATCTGTGCTACAGGAAATTCACCAGCAGAGGGTGTGTGTGCGTCTGTGTGTGTGTGGGGGGGGGGAGTGTGTGTGTATGCATGTGAGTATGCGTGTGTGTTGCCTGCTGAAAAATTAAAGGTAGGGAGCATGGAAGTAACAGTAAGAGATACAATGTTTGTTTTATTTTAGCATACATGAGAAGATTCAACATTTAGCTTAGACATACAGTAAACTAATTACATATATTTATGTCACTGTTGGGTTGAACAGTGTCCTTCTGATCTTGGGATTGGTGTGGCTCTGTAGGTCAAGTTCTCATTTTTGCCCTTTCTTCTTTGGGGAAGTCTTCTCTCCTGCCCCTGGTTTGGGACCTATGGCTATGTTCTCTGGGCCAGCTGCACAGTTGTTATATAGAAAGAACTCTGGGAGCAATAACGGAGATGGGACTGAGGGGACAAATAGAGAAGGAAAGGCTGGAGGTGAGGGAAACTTGATTAGAGACTGCATTGAAGAGGACACGCATCATATTTGTCCTAGAGGGTACACAAAAAGAGAATCAGGATCTACTGATGAAAACGAAAATCCAAAAGTTGCCTAAAGATGGCAACAGAGCACCTTGATTTGTCATCGCAGCTCATTAGGCGGAAGGGCTTAAAAGGCTTATTAGTTATCTACTGCTACATAATAAATTCTCTCAAAATGTGGTGGTTTAAGACAGCAAACACTTATTATCTCACAGTTTCTGTGGGTCAGAAATTCTGCAGTGGCTTCATTGGGTGGTTCTTTCAAAGGGTCTCCAATGAGATTTCAGTCAAGATGCTGCCATGGACTGCCGTCATCTGAAGGCTCACTCAGATCTCTGAGGCTGTTGGCAGGAAGCCCTGGTTCCTCAGAAGCAGCTGTTGGGAGGAGGTCGCAGTTTTTTGCGAAGTGGGCTTCTCTAAAACACAGCTGCTTGAGTGTTCTCATGACATGGCAGTTGGTCTCACTGAGAGGGAGTGATTCAACAGAGAGCCCAAGGAGGAAGCCACAATGCCTTTCTGACCTAGTCTCAGAAATCGGACACTGTCACTTCTGCCATAAATTTACTGGTTGGAAGCGAGTCTGCAGTGTTTGGCTCACAGTCAAGGGCAGGGGAATTGAGCTCCACCTCTTGAAGGGAGGAGTATTCAACAAACTATGGACAAAGCACCTGTAACAAGGTCACACAAGTGGACTTAGAAAGTTCCTTCATATCTGAGATTCTCCAATTCTATTCATGAATCAGTAGACAAAGGGCAAACCTCATAGGTGTCCATTACTTGAGTCATATCACCTTGGAAGCAGCCCACTGGAGCTCTGATAACTAATGTATTTGTCAAAAGGAGAGTCTACCTAACGGCTTCCAGGAAACGCCATCAAGCAGCAATGAGGTTTGACTGAAACTGCTTGTGTGATGTAATGAGAAAAATATTTATGATTTTCAGAAAAGAAAGTGGACACAGAAAAGGCTACAGTAGGAGATTGTGTGATTACATTATTCTTGGGACCAAAAAAGTGATTAACAATATACAGCAGTTAAGTTTTTTTTTTAAAATTTTGGAAATTGTTTTATTTTATTTGGATGTGTAGAAAAGAAAGACTTCTGAGCTTTCTTGTTACTGGAAATTACTGAGCATCCAGGAGCCAGGAGTTTATAGTTATACTCTTATGACAGTGAAAAAGCAATAAATGGAAGTCATGGTCCAAACATGAAGCAAATTAATTTATAGCTAATTTGGAGCAATTGATAGAAAGGAGAATCCACTTGATCTCAATGACTGAAACAGTCTCCTTTTACAGGCAGAGGTTTATGACAAACCCTGATCTCTACATGTCCGATCTTCTGCTTCTAGGGTATGCAGTGAGCACTATTTATACTATAATCCTGATGCTGTCAATGCTGGTCACTGACACTATTTAGAGTCAACCCCTGATCAAACTGCAGAGATAAGCATAGATATAAGAAGGCACATGTTAATAATCATAACAACAATGGTATTGTTGACAGAGATTGAGGTGAGGTAGGAGAGTGAAGGAGGAAGAGAAAAGGAGAAAAGCAAGTGCTATAGGGTCTGAATGTTTGTTTCCTCCAAAATCCATGCTGAAACCTATTCCCCAATATGGCAGTATTAAGATGTGGGACCCTGAAAAGGTGATTAGGTCATGAGGACTGTGCCCTCATGAATGGATTAATACCTTCACAGATTAATGGGTTATCATGGGACTGGAACTGGTGGCTTTATAGGAAGAGGCAGAGAGACCTGAGCTAGCACACTCAGCCACCTCACCATGCGATGTCCTGTGCCCCTATGGACTCTACAGAGAGTCCCCGCCAGCAAGAAGGCCCTCATCACATGCAGCCCCCTGACCTTGGACTTCTCAGCCTCCATGACTGTAAGAAATAAATTAATTTTCTTTACAAATCACTCAGGTATTCTGTTAGTTTTAGGTATTCTGTCATAAGCAACAGAAAACAGACTAACAGTGCATGAAAACAGACTAACAGAAAACAGTGCATGAACTTTCCTCAACTTACATAGTTGAAGTGGTGAGGAATGTTTGATAGACATTATATAACGTTAATGGATCAAGAAATAGTGTGTTGAAGTGCGATAATTTTTAAAATATTATTTCAAGTTAGAGTAGAATTCCAACAAAAATCAGGAAGGAAGAGAAGTGGGATATGGTGGGGGCTGGGTTTTTAATTTTTTCACAGCAAGGGGTCACAAGTTACCGACTAATCAAGAAATAGATGTGTGAGCACATTATATAGAGTGACGGTGTTTCCCATGAGAATAACCAGAACCAAAGACTGACTGGTGGCTCTGGAAATGGAGTATAAAAGGTGACTTTCACATCTTTGATTGCTGTCCTTCTATACTGTTTGAATTTACTTTGTTTCCTACTTCTATACCGTTTGAATTTATTTTCTTACCACATACTTAACATTCATACCTGTTATAGAAAGTTCACACAATTGGTAGCATCTGTAAGTTGACATTAGCCTATGTTCGCCAGGTTTTAGTAGATAAGCTTCACAAGCATCAACGCCTCCAGTTAACAAACGGCAAGGTTTCACTTATTTCATAAATTGGCACTTCACACTTAATGCTTCCTCTTGAAATAAAGAGTTTATAAATCACTACATTGGTAATAAAAACTATATAACGTGAGCTAAAATACTATGGCTTATCCTTAAATATGCATTTTTGTACCACCAAAAATGAAAAGCCAACCAAAAAGACATTACCGTTTTCAGGGTTAACACAAATAGGTAAGAGTCCAGGCTCAGCAGAGTACTGTGATACTCTTTTTAGGAATAATCGATGAAACAATTTTAATGCCCCCCGCAACCCACCGCTGCCCAAACACTAAGGGTTATTCTTCTGAGGTTTTTTGTTTGTCTGTTTTATTATACTTTAAGTTCCGGGATACATGTGCAGAATGTGCAGGTTTGTTACATAGGTATACACGTGCCATGGAGGGCTTGCTGCACCCAACCATCTGTCATCTACATTAAGTATTTCTCCTAATGCTATCCCTCCCCTAGCCTCCTAGCCCCTGACAGGCTCCACTGTGTGATGTTCCCTTCCCTGTGTCCACGTGTTCTCACTGTTCAACTCCCAGTTATGGGTGTTTGGTTTTCTGTTCCTGTGTGAAGTTTGCTGAGAATGATGGTTTCTAACTTCATCCATGCCCCTGTAAAGGTTTTATGGAAACCCCATGTCCATCCTCCGCATATGTTTAAAACGAACCAGGTTGGGTTTAACTATCTAACTGGAAGAACATTCAAAGGATTCAACAATGATTAAGATACCAAAGAATAAAACTAGTATTTGTCTTGTTTTAACAAAACATGACTGTTAAAAAGCACATCTCCTTGGAGTAACCTAGGTACTACGTACAGAGGGTAGAAGGAAAGACTATGGCAAAAAAAAATACAGCTGGTGGTTAGCGTCCAGGTGGAGAAAAAGGCCTTTTATATAAAGTGTACTTTTTCTCTGAGGAATGAACAAAGAGATTTTATGAAAATGTTTTGGGCTTCTATAGAAAAAGTATTTTTATACCCATAAAAAACACTCAGTCTTCTACTTCATAAACTACGAAGGGACGTGTACTATAGCAATTGACAACAATCACACAATATACATCAGGCACCACTCACGCTTTCTGTAAGGAAATTTACAGGAAGGGTTAAACTACCACAACTCCCGTGGATGACCTATAGTGCTTGTATTAAAAAAAACAAAAGCAACAAAAAACACAAGAATGGACTAGTACACTGAGCTATTGCAATGAAAATGTACAAACTCCTACTGCATGTAACATGGATGAATCTAACAAGCTTAAATACTGACTGAAGACTAGACACAATTGATACATACTCCTGATTCTATTGACATAATAAATAAAACCAGGCAAAACTAACCATGGTGTTACAAGTCAGCATACTGTTTAACTTTGGAGGGGGTAGAGATCAGAAGGGGTCAAAAGGGGACTTCTGGGGTTGTGGTAAAGTTCTATTTTTTTTTTAATCTGGGTGCTGGTTACAGGGGGCTGGGTTCACTTTGTGATAATTCATCAAGCAGTTGCAGTTATGATTTGTACACTTTTCTAAAAATGTACGTATGCTTCAGTTAAAAAGTTAACTTAAAAAAATAACATATGGTGCCCCTGCTAGTGTATGTGTCACCTTTATGCAGATTTTCTTAATGTGTCCCCTCTGGAGAGATGGATTAGAAAAAGGCAACCCTGTGGTCAGCGGCCGCCCCACAACTCTGTGCCTTCACAAACAGAGGGTGGGCTGGGTTTCATCCCACTGGTGCTTGGCTGGAAACAAAACCACACATCTGGATGGACATCTGCAAATCTGCAAAAACACTCATTTGACCCTCTCTCAGCACAGCTTTATGAGGAGGGCAGGGCAGACGTCCTTGTTTTACAGATGAGGAAATGGCATGGAACAGCAAGACCGAAGCACGAAGGTGTCATGGCTAACGAGCCACAGAGCCAGGACTGACCTCTAGGCCAGTAGCTCTTCACTCGCTTCTCATTCCTTTTGGGGAATGGGAACAGGAAGAAGCTTCTCTTTCTATTACTGTGTGCCTTGTTATGGGGTCACCTCAAGTGCTTTGCAGAATAAGATAGGGCATGAATACGTGGTCCAATGTTGTTAATACTGGACTTTAGTAAAGGTCCTTGGTTCTAAGCTTATTTGAAATATATTCTCTAAGTGTGTACTTAAAAATGAACATTCATCTTTTACATGCTTACCTATGGAAAACGATCGCAGAACAGGGAGGTTCAGACAGCAATAAAGCATGCCGACCCTCCCGCAGTTTAAAATTATTGACTTAAGGGTATACATATTTTCATTTTTTCTTGAAAAAATAAAATAAAAGAGAAAGACGCACACAATGCACATGTCTCACTTACCTAGAAGTGTCTGCTTATTTTGGGAGGAGTCAGGATCGGCAGAACATCTGCACGAACGGAGAACAATCACTCCGCCTAGCACGCCATCTTCACTGGCGAGGAAAGGTGAACCTAGGCAGAAAGGACTAGTAGTCATTTTTCAGTGAATTTTACTTTTTTAATTTTCAATATTCACTTGATTATTAGAACAAAAATGTGGCATGAATAAGATCTTGAAAGATGCCCATTTTCTGACAACCACCATTGTTCATACCTCATTATACACTTGATGGCAAAGGCAGGTTTATGCCTGAACAGGGGCCATTTGGCAAAGAAAATGCCACATGCTGTCAGGAAGATGTAAGTGGGGGAGGGAATGTGCATTACTGTATTCAGAATGGAATTGGAAACGCTACCAGATTAAAGGACCAAAACACAAATACAGGAAAAAATGCTCAGCAACTCTCTTTGATCAGCTCTTAGGGATCACTTACCACAGGCTCTCCCTGCTGTCAGGGACACACCACCAAAAGCTTCAGTTTACTACCTTAAATGCAATTTGAAACAATAAGCCACAAACTTTATTATAAACATTTTTAAATGCTTCTGATGGTTCGCACAAATAAGGGTGAAACTGCATTTCTATGATGAGAGTCTGGTGGTTAGAAAGAGTTGGGCCTCTTTGGGATCTCACACACTGAACCACTGTGAGCATTTCAAGAACATTATATTTTAAAACCCCTCATTTTTCTTCCCCAAGGACATCTTCTTCAAACATCTGGCATAGCAAGTGAGCACATGGAGAACAAATGCAAAATTAACCCAAGAACTATCAAAGAGAGTAGTAAAAAATCAAACCCAACCAAATTGGATTTGGTGGGAGCTTCTGGTTAAACTTACTATATTAAATACACGTATTTTTCTCCCTCCCTCCCCAAATCCTACTGACCTGAATGGGAAAGGAAGAAAAAAGCCATAGCCCAATAAGGGCAGAGAAAGAGGCAGACAAGGAAAAAACTGACCTTTTGGAAAATGGTAAGAAGACAGATAAGTGGTTGCTCACCTAGCAAACTCACAAAAGCTGAAACCTAAGTTTTCATGAGGCAGGGGAAAATTGGAGTGGAGGATACCCACAGGAAACCAAACCAGTTTTGCCATAAAATGCAAAAAGGTTCAGAAATTGGAGACTTCAAGTTCCTCTGAAGGCAGGGGTATGAGGTAGAGATGATAAAAGATGGTAAGTTGACAGTGTCCAAAAGAATCCTCTAGATCAGAGGTTGTCCTGCTAAGAATGCCATCATAAAGGGTTGTTTAAAAGAGAAAAAAAAAAGGAGGAGGAGGAAGAGAAGGAGGACCAACATGCCACACAGACCGTGATACAGGCTGCAAAGCCCATAATCTTTATTCTCTAGCTCTTTCACAGAAAAACTTTGCCAACTCCTGATCTAGAACAGGAGATCAGAACTGCAGTTCCTTTCCAAAAAGGAAGTGACTCCTCCCTAACCCTGAAGAAGCCAGGATATTTACTCTCTAGAGAAGGTGAACCAGAGAGAGTTGAGACTTGGGAGCATCAGGGTTAGCCCAGGGCAGGAAAGAGGCTACACACTGAAAACAGGGAGCTGAGGTATGTCTTTATGCTAAACAGTGAAATAACCAGCTCCCAGAATGCAAGAAATCAAACTGATATACTCCAAGAAGAGACTAGATAGATAGTCCCTTTCCAGCAACCCAGCCAACTCAAGACTAAAGACCTACTTGAGAGATGCCCGCAAGAAAACGTGTCCTTGCCTTAGGGTGAGGGCTTCAAGATGACAAGTATGACTCATACACAAAAGGATTTTAGTTCAGCTTGGCATTTAACTATTAAATAGTTAATACCAAACCGTTGATATGTAACTAGTACAGACAATCTAGGATTATTAGTTGTTTTAGTCAGGTCTCTGTTTTAGGAAAGACAGAGACCAAAAAAACAAAATAGTTACACAGGGAAAATTTGGGCAAGTGTACTGAGCAGAAGAAAAGTAAAACAAAACAACAACAACAAAAAACATTAAAAAGACAGATAAAAAATGAGTGAAAAATATAAGAAAATCACAAGACTAGGCCAGAACTATCTAATATGTGAATAACAGGAGTTTTAGAGAGACTAGAAAAAATAGAAGGAGTAAAATTTCTAAGAAATAATTCAAAAACATTTCCAAGAATTTTAGATGAGTGTTCAAACTGAAAAGGTCCATCAACCTCCCAGTACAACTCATGAAAAAGGCACCCCATGAAGATTTATCCCTATGAAATATAAGATACTAAGGAAGGAAAGAAGGGTCTAAAAACTTTCAAATGGGAAGAAAAGATCACATGGAAAGCAAGGGTATTACAATGGCATCAGATTTCTCAACAACAGCAATACCTGAAGCTAAAAGATTATGAGGCGCTCTCTTCAAAATGCTGAGGAAAAATTATTTCCAACCTAGAATTCTATATTCAGCCAAAAGGTCAATAAAGTATGAAAGCGGAATAAAGCTCTACAAATTCTCAAAGAGATTACCTCCCATGTATTCTTTCTCAGAAAGCTACAGGATGAATGTTCCTTGACAGAATGAAGAAGTGAGGTAAATAATGAGGAAGAAAATAAGATCTGGATACAGAGGATCCAAAACAAGAGAAGATAATGGGATTCCAGATGACAGAGCTATGCAGCAAGCTGAGAGAGCAAACTGAATTGGAGCATGAAGTCAGGAGGCCAGGAAAGGTAATTCTAAGGGGAGGGAAAAATAAACTGACTGAATACATGTTGGTTTGAAATTACTGAGAGAAAATGTTTCAGATTTTGAGGAAAGTTTGGAGATGAAAGAGTGACTAGTACCAAAAAAATAATAAGACTTGTACAAGAAATGAAATGGAATCACAGTATACTATGTAGCTAGGATGTGAATCGCTAGAGTAAACAAATATAAACTCTCATACTGATAAGCAAAAAAAAAAAAAAAAAAAGAGGGAGAGAAGTTTAATTTTCAGAACCACCCTGCCATGCAATCTTTTATTATCATTTACAGATGAAGAACCTGAGCTTCAGAGAGGTTCAATGACTTGCTACAGCCAAGCTATAGTTGAGCAGGAAACATGGCTTCCCCCAGCATCTTCTGAGCCATGATCCTTGCTTCATTTGTAGCAATGCCTCTCACGTAACAAAAAAAATCTCTGAATAACCTCAAAATGCAACTGTGTGCTGGAAACCTCCATCTCAACAGTACTCAAACATGGCACCTCTACAACTGTTCCTTTTACCACCAAATCCAGAAACTTCTCCTGGCCTCCAATAGCTCATCTAAGCTCAAAATCCTTTACCTCTTCCCTCTCCAACAAGTCAACACTTCACACCATGTCAAATCTGTTAGTTCTCCCTATGACCTCATTTTGGCCTGCCCCCTCCCTTCATTCCCACTGACAAGACCCTCAATGTATTCTCATTGTCCAAGAAACCCTGCAACCAGCTCTAATCTGGCCTTCTGCTCTAGTCATTCAAATCTCTAAATTAATTAATTTAATAAAAATGTACTAAGTGCCAGGACTCTTCTAGGCACTGGGGATACAGAAGTCAACAAAGCCCCTGTATACATCTAGTTGAGCAGCTTGGGGGACAAGTATTAAACTCACAAACCAATATGGAAATCCACCCAATAGCAGTAAGTGTTATAAAGAAAATGAACCCGGTAAATGATGGAGAGTGTCACTGGGGCTGAGCCTTGTCTACATCAAAGAGCAAGAAGGCCTCTTTTGGTCAGGAGCTAACCATGTGATAATCTGAGGAAAGACCATTCCAGGCAGATCGACCAGCAAATGCAGAGACTCTGAGGTGAGGGAGGGAGGGGGAAGAAAGGATAGAATATGAGTTTAAGAGAGGCCAGGGCCAGGTCACAGACTGTGATAACATTTATTTGGACTTGTAAAAGTTACTTAGCTGTGCAGAATGTAATGGCAAGGCAAGCATAAAAGCAACAACCAACTAAGCTGCTGTGGCAGCCCAGTTGAGAGGTGACAGTGGCCTGGGTGAGCCTTCTGACAGTGAAGGCTATCTACAGAAGCTGGGTCTGTGATATACTCTGCAAGTAGAACTAATAGAGTTGTTCGTGGAAGGGACATTGGAGGCATGGGAAACAGAGACTTCAAAGTTTACTGTAAAAAGAGATATGCATCCCAGGCCATATCATTAAACAACTGAAAAACCTGTAATAGCTCCCAACTGCCTGTAGAATGATGCCCAAATTCCTTAGTCTGGCGTAGCCTTTCTTATCCTTCCCAATCTTATCACCCTGTTTATTTTACACATCATTTGTACTTCCCATACTCTACTCCCCTAAGATTTCCCCCGGGCCCCTGGTTGTGAACTGTCCTTCCTGGCTCCCTTTCCCCTGATAAACTGAGTGTTCTTCAGCTCCAGTGCCTTTTATACAGATCCGAACTTTCTGGGGTAAAGGTATCTCATTCACCTTTGAAGCCCCCTAGTTATTATCAAAATAATTCCAACACACATACACACACACACACACACACACACACACACACTCCTGCCTACATCACTCCTGCCTACATCTCTTTGTGGCAAAGAGAATGGCAAGAAAGAAGAAAATGATCCCAGCACTTTGAGAGGCCAAGGCGGGTGGATCACGAGGTCAGGAGTTCAAAATCATCCTGGCCAAGATGGTGAAACCCTGTCTCTATTTGTAAAAATACAAAAATTAGCCAGGCATGGTGGCGGGCACCTGTAATCCCAGTTACTCAGGAGGCTGAGGCAGAGAACTGCTTGAACCTGGGAGGTGGAGGTTGCAGTGAGCCAAGGTTGCGCCACTGTACTCCAGCCTGGGCGAGGCGACAGAGCAAGACTCCGTCTAAGGAAAAAAAAAAAAAAAAAGAAGAGAATGGCACTTTTACGCAAGTACTCTGAAAGCGAGCAGGGGCCCAGGCTACTATGCAAGCTTATATCAGCGTTGCATTTGGTATGAGCTCGTCCAATTATTTAATGAAAGTACGGTTAGAGCGCATTTCAAGATTCCATATTTTTTGTGGAAAATACTAAGATTTTTATATTATCACCATGGTGCCGGAAAAACACTAACATAGACAGAAAACCTTGT